TCATGCTGTGGTGACCCCCAACCATAAAATTAAGCCATTGGTAGTTCACAACGGTAATTTCGCTACTGTTATAAATCGTAATGGAAATATCTGATATGCCGGATATCTGGTATGCGACTCCTGTGAAAGGGTCTTTGGAACTTTGGAGAGGTAGCCCTGAGTTTGAAACTGTTTTCTGCCTCTGAGGTAGGTGGGAGATTCCGTAGCGGACTAAGGGTTGCTGTTGCTGCTCCCTGGAACTGTCTACTTACTCACTAAATGGAGAGGATAATCAGTGGGTCCTGGCAGAACCAAGAAAGTGGAACTAGACAACACTTGATGTTTCTAGTGAGTGCTCAATTAGTAAGCCCTCAGTCCTCAGGGAGGCCTCTGTCTCTGTCCTGGCTTGGGTGATATAGTTAGGGGACCAGCCTGTGACCCTGAAGCTCTGACTTGTCCGTGCTGAGCTGAAAGTTGAGAGCGGCAGTGCACAGCAGCTCTTCCAGTTAGAGAAAGCTCAAGGTCTTCGGATTAGGGAATCTTGCCGCCAGCTTTAGGAAAAAAACGGCGAGCTTTGAGGTTTGAAATCTGATTCTTTGATTGGGAGTTGCTGGCTTTACGCGGGTGGGGTTCAGACCCTCCGCCAGGAAGGCGCTGTTGGTCCTGAAACCTTGGCCAGTTATTGTCTAGGGGCTTAAGGGAACCCTTATTCAAAAGTTCACAACGGGTAGCTGAGCGGCGATATCTGGGCGACGGTAGGAGTGGGGCGCAGCAACACGGATCCCCCAGAGCTCTAGGCGGACGCAGGCGGCGCCACTACAGCGAAATGCTCTGACCTATCCGCTGCCTTAGCACTTTTGGTGGCGTAGTCCGCCACTGACTGAAACCCGCTCCTTCCCCGGGCAGAAGGCAACTGGCCAGGAAGACAAGTCCTTTGACATTTTCGAATCACTTCCTTAAGAGGGCAGGGGTCCCAGTGGTTTTTTACCTTTCCCCAAACTCTTTCCCGGAGTTCAGTTCCAGACGGAAGCATCCAAGTCCTCACTAACGGCATTTTCTCCTTTTTTTTTTCCTATATCTCGACGCTTATCCAAATTATTTTTTTATGCTGACCATATAGTCATTTATTTTATTATTTGAATAAAAGGCGTTTAAAGTGTCCTGAGCAGAAAGTACAGTGCTTATCCGCACATAAGCCAACAAAAAATTTAGAGATGAACACCTGTCATCCAACAACATCCTCAAAATTCAAAAGCTGCCTCATGTCTCCTTCCCATTTTATGCGCGCCCACCTTTAGCAAATGCTTTCTGAGCTGCCTGGACCATGCTGTCCCCTCGTCATGGGCAACCACCTATGGGACATCAGGGCCAATACTCAGGGCTTTCTTCCTCCGCGGAATTCCCGCTTTGCTGCCAGACCTACCTCCTACTCTGGGCTGTTCTCTGCATGCTCTTGAGGACACTGCCAGATACGAATCCTGACAGGGATCTAGCAGAACCTCGGCAGGGAGGACTTGGTGTCTAAGCAAGAGTCTGCTTTTGTGTACGCTCATCTGTTTCCACACCCAAGAAGAAGGCAGTCGATGGGAGAAAAAGCGAGAGAGAAGAAAAGGAGTGATGGAGAAATGTCGAAACTGAGATGATGGGAAGGAAGAAACCTGGGCACCAAGGGAAGGAAGGACTAGGGGCGCTGAAGTCTGCAGGGGGCGGTCCCGCTGGTTCCCACTTACCCGACCTGAGCAGCATCGCCCGGTACAGCCCGGTAGCCTCGGCGGGCGCCTTGGACCACTCGCCCAGCTTCTGCGCCATGCCCCGAGCTGAGTGTCCCCACCGCTGAGCCTGGACTGAGGGCCTGAGCAGCGGCTCAGTGATAGTGACGCGCCTGGCTGCTCCACCCGCCCGCCCAGGGATCTGGTTACTGTAGGCTCCTGAGACACTGCGGTGTTAGAGGGCCAGGGCCACAGGGAGTCTCTGCACGGAACAGCTAAGGCACAGCGGGCGTCTCTGGACACCTTTGCAGCATCACATGGAGCGCGGCCGGCCTCCTTCCAGCCTGGCTTCTTGCCCACTTCGCCCCGTTCTTGGTCTCTGGCCCCTATGAAGGCTGTGAGCAGGTATGGGATTCGGAAGCGCCATTCCTGGCATTTGTTTCCAGTGGGCTGGTGAAGAGAAAAAGACCAGGACCCTCGTCTGAGATGCGTGGAGAGCCATACATAGTTCTTGGCCCACAGGGTTATAAGGTGAGGCTTGGCAGGCGGATAGGTGAAGTGTTTAGAACCCGCTGGGTTCAGAGCAAACACTATGCACCAATACTTTGGACTCTGAGAATGTTGCTGAGTTCGCAGAGTGCTTGCTTGAACGAAGCCCTGGATTCGAGATCCAGCACGGCTTAAAACCGGGGATCGTAGTGCACACCTGTAATCCTAGAGTTTTAGAAGCGGAGATAGGAGGATCAGGAGTTCAAGATCACCCTCAGTAGCTAGTTTGAAACCAGACTGGGCTATGTGAAAGGTGTTTCAACAAACAAGCAAGAAAAAGAACATTCCCCAAAGATTTAAGTGGTACTGAGAGGTAGGGTCTTTGCTGGGGTAGGGGGAAGCTGAAGGGGGAAGTCCGTAGAATGCCTTATGACTGATTTCTCTGGCTTTGTGGTGTTCTGTAAACAGCCAGGAAAGAAGACCAATGGAAGAGTCTGGAGACTCATGGGGCAACAGTCACTGGGCAGATGTGGAATATGTGAAATGTTCCGCTTTGCCTCCACTGGGCTACACCGCATCTAAATAAAACAAGAGAATATAAAGTGTGCACTATTTGTGGTCTAGTTCCTTTAACCTTTATAATCCTTCTAAGTCGGGCCTTTTAGCATTCTCATTTTACAAAGGAGAGGAACAAAAGCTCAGAGAGGCTAATCTACTGCTCCGAGGTCATTCATCATGGAGCTAGGACACAAATTCTGATGGTCTGACCCGAGACTGATTCTTCTCCCCTGCTTCTATTATACAAGTCTCTCTTCAGAGCAGTCCTAAGGTGTGAGTCTTCCCTCCAGCATAGAGATGAAGTCACTGAGACTCAGTAGGTGAAGTGATTTGGCCATACTTACACACTTAAGATCCAGCCAGTTCTGAATCCGTGAAATTTGTGTCTGAAAACATGGGAGCTGTCTAGGGTACTGGATGGTCCAAGGCAGTGCCTGAGTGGGGCAAGAAATGATGAGTTAGCTGTTAAAGCCTTGGTCCCACCACCATAACCCCCATCACCTCCGCACGCTTCCTGCCATCCTGTTTTCTTGGTCTTTGGTGAGCCCCCAATCACTGCCTGGGCCCAGCTTTTGTACCAGAAGTCCTTGGTGCCCAGTTCTTTCTGCACCATCCAGTGTCCCTGAGTACACGTGACACACCCCAAACACCCTGAAGGATCTCAAGGTGACCCTGACCTTCAGGAGCCTCACTGATTGACCTGGCTGAGCATGATTGTCACCAACAACTAGCTGTCAGCACCACGCAGGACGTTCCTGTCACATCCTCCCTTCAGAGCATGGAAGGACAGCCGTCTTACAGTGCGTCTCATTGGACCCACTCAGTGGCTCTCTGATCAAGCTTCTGTCCCTCTGGGGGACCAGGAACGTAGGTTCAATGGACTTGCCTTTGGTCACTTCACTGGTTAGTAGCAGGACTGGGATCCGAACCTAGATGGCCCTATAACTTGCTGCCATGGACAGAGCCAGCCCCCTCCTGAGCAGAGAGGGACTGAGGAAACGAGTAGCTGAGGGATGTGTACTTGGTGTATACGTAGAAAGGTGTCTTTGGGTAAGCCCTGGTAAATTGCAGGGAGGTCTGACTCATCTTGTCCATTTAGTTTATGCGTATCAATTTTCACCATGGGATCTGACCAGAAGAGGGTGTCAGATCCCCTGAAGTTATAGGTCAGTGTGAGCCATCCTGTGTGAGTGATGGGAACTGAAAACTGGTCCTCTGCCAAACAACAAGTATTCTTGACCCAAGTTATCTCCCTAAGCTCCTTAAAAAATGTATTAGCTTTTTCCTTCTGTGACAAAGCACGCAGGGCAAGCCATTTAATGGAGGGAGGACTGATTTTGGCTCCCAATTACAGAGGCACAATCTATAGTCCTTTGGTGCTCTCTTGCTTGGTCAGGTGGAGTATCTCAGGGGGATGTAGGTGTCATAACAAAGCTTGGCCTCATGGCCATCAGGAAGTAAAAAAAAAATAGAGTCCAGTGATGAGTAATAACACCCAAGGGTACACCCCCAATGAACCACTTCCTCTAAATCTGTCCATCTTCCACTTTCCAATAATGTCACCAAATTATGGATCTACCAATAGATTAACCCACCCCTGAGGCCTAGTCCTCATGACTTAATCGCTTCCACAAAGCCTCATCTCTGAATGCTGCTGCCATTGTGATCAAGCTTCTGCTGCAGAGCTTTAGCAGAGGTGCATGGGGATGCTTCATATACAAATCAGAACAATTTCCCTCTCCTCTCCTCTCCTCTCCTCTCCTCTCCTCCCCTCCCCTCCTCTCCCCTTCCTTTCCTTTTCTCTTCCTTTCTTTTTTAAAGAATAGTCTTAGGTTTAAAAGAAAGTTACAAAGACAGTACAAAGAGTTTTTCCATGTTTCACACCAACTATCTTCCATTCTTAACATCACAATGGATATAGGACAGACGAGATGACTCAGCAGGCAATGGCACTTGAGGCTCAGCTTGAGGATCTGAGTTCAATCCCTGGGGCCCACCTGGGTCATCCTGGTTGCCATCTGATCCTTACAAACTTGCTATGGTATTCATACCCTTCCACAAATGAATAGGTAAGTGAGTAAGTGTAACCAGACATGTTTAGATGAGTGCATGTGCCATAGTAGGTTTCTTGAAACGAATGAACAGATTTGATACACATTTGATGACTGAAGTTGATTCATTGTTCTGTAGTTTTTAGTGAATGCCCTTCTCAGTCCCAGGATTCTCTCCAGGATACCACATAGCCTGTTGTGTTTTGTCTCCTAGATGCCCCTTGGCTGTGGCCTTCACAGTTTGGAAAGTTGCTGGAGACCCGTGTTCTCCTGTGATGACGCGCTGTGTAATTATGCAGACACATCAAGAGAGGCTCACCTGCTCCTTGTGTGGCATTGCTCAGGTAAATAGGAGGGACTGGGGTCCCCAGAGGCCTCCAATTTTGAGCATTGCCACCAAAGAGGACAGAGAAGGGGGGCAGTGTTTAGGGAATGGTCAGGCTGCTTTTTTGTCCTCCTTCTCAAAAGGATTGAGGGCACAAGTGACGTCATTTGTGGAAAGAGATTCTGGGACATAGAAAAAGGACCTACTCCAGAGAGTTGGGAGGACACCCAAGCCCTTCTCCAGTGTCTCCCCACACAGAGCAGGGAAGTAGGCTGGGGTTCACACAGAGCCTTAACATTACAAAGACAATACAACTTCCAGACCTGAGTTTAAAAAAATGCCCTTTGCATACCTGCCAAACTTTTCAAATGGGGGCTAACCTGTGCCTCATGGGGCAATGTTGCCAGAGTTGGGGGTGCCCCTTTACTGAGTGGGCTCTGCACTCATAGGCACCGATAAAACGAGGTGGCTCAGAAATGCCACCTGGGTCTTTGCTAAGGCAGTCAGGGTGACTCATTGCCTTCTACCAGGACTGTGCAAATTGATGCAGCTGGTTTTCCTTCACTGGGTTGTTAACCATTGCCAGACTGGCGGGTGTCAGTTCTGTCTATGATGGGCAGAGGCAGAGCTTTTGCCTGGCATGCAAAATATCCAAACACTGCTCACCACAGCTATGTCTTGGTTGGAGAAGAATGTTTGCATGCCTCCTGTACCTTATGAGGCCACCATCTGCTTGCTTCTTATGCCATGATTGCTGGAAATCTCTATGGGCTGGTGGCTGGTAACCTTAATGGTCCTTTCCACCGAAGCCTCTCCTTTTCCACTCTGCTACATTGTGTTTACCTAGAGGTTAATGTCTCAATATGACAATGTCAAAGACATCAGACAGACACCAAAAATATGTCTCCATAGACTGACACTTAGGGAACTCTTAGTTTATTCTTTGTCTTGTCTTGTCTCTTTTGAAACATGGCCTCACTATCCCTGGCTGGGCTGGAACCCCACAGAGCTCCACTGGCCTCTGCTTCTGAGATTAAAGGTGGGTATGGTCACATTAATCTGAGTGGCTTCTGGTTTATTTGGTACCTGCTTTGTGGTTTTTAAACAGTACTAAAGATATCTGTGACTGTCCTTCCATGGTGGGTAACTGAGTGCTCAGGTTGGTCAGACAGACACCTGGCTGTGGAGCTGCTGGCCTCTAAGGGAGGTGAGACACTGCCAAGGGCAGCTGCAGCCTTTTATGGACCATGCTTTGACATCCTCACTAGATAAATGCTTGTGTCTTCAGGTTTTACGCTTGAGCATGTGTCCACCACGCAAGTTACCAGGCTCGGGAGGCAAACACCTTTACCCACCAAGCCATCTCACCAGCTCCACCTGGGGACAGACTCTCATGTTGGACTGGCGCTCCCTATCTTACTGCCTCAGTTTTCTGGGTACCAGGAGTACAGGAACTCCTCCTCATGCTTAGCTCTCACTTCATTTTCCAGAGGAGAAAACGGAGACATGGAGAGATTAAGGACCCTTTCCTACAGGGTCCATAGAGCCGTTCTTCCCACTAAACTAATCTTGAAGATTGAATGTTTTTTTTAACTCAAGAGCCCTGAGTTCTACTTCACTAACCACCCACTCACTGAGGCCAGAGCCACTGTGAGTTGCCAGATCCACCTGTGCCTTCTGCCTCAGCATCTTGCCTTCATGGAGCTGCCCTGTTGTTGAGGACATCTGCCAGTCTTTTGCGCCTCTTCCCCAGTATGAGGAAATTAAACCCAGCAGCCCCACTAAAGGACTGACTTTGGGGCAGCTTCCCATGCAGGGATTTATCCGGCTGCTGTTGGGTTCATAGCCTAGGTGCACAGCAGAGGAGGGAAGGAGAGAGGGAGGGAGGAAGATCCTGTGGCATAAAATGTAAGCTACAGATCCCTCCCTCCTTCCCTCCTTTCCTCCCTCCCTCCTCTCTCATTCTTCTTTCCTTCCTTCCTTTCTTAATTCTCATTATGAATCTGTTTCTCTGTCTGTCTGTCTTTCTCTCTGTGTGTTTGCATCCATGCTTGTGTAAAGACTGTAGAACCACGTTTGGTGGTGTTTCTCAGGTTGTCCACCTTGCTTTTTGATAGTCTCTCACTGGCCTGGAGACTATTGTTGATTCAGCCAGACTGGCTGACGAGTGAGCCACTAGGATCCACCAGCCTCTGCCTCCTCAGCAATGGGACTCACAAGTGTGCACCACTGCACCTGGCTTTGAGAAACAGGTCCTGGGGTGGCACTCGGATCCTGATGCTTGCAGGCTGAACACTTTACGAACCCAGCTGCCTTCTTGGGGGATATTTCCATGTCAGTCTATGTTCCATTTACTCCCTTGACACGCTGCTGTGTGCAATGCAATGTGATGCCCTAGACTTTTGTGCCTTTTTGATTTTGATTTTTAAAAACAATTCCCTTTAGTTGGACATCTAGTTTGTTTCAGTGTTTGGCTATTTCAAATAATTTTGCTCCGTGTGTCCCACGCTTGCCTCTCTGCTCACATGCTGGCTTCTCTAGGGTAGATACTACAAAGTGGAAATGGTAAGCCAAGAAATATCTAAAATTTTATCAGATGTCACCAAATTACCCTCCAGAATGGCTGGAGCATGAGCCATACCCACAATCATTTGTCTTCTATGGCTTCGGGGCATTAGAAGTTGGGGTAAAAGTTTTCCTTGGGGGGGGCACAGTAGTGCAAGGGAGGCTCCTAGGATGCTGGTGATTTCCTGCTTCCTAATATGACATCGGATTCCCCCAATTCATTAAGTGGTCTGCTTGCGAGAGGTGCCCCTTCCTCCACACATGGTCCTCAGTGCTGTCTGGATGGCACTGCCGGCCACAGGATGCTATCCATCTTTCACAGCATGGCCAGTGCAATAGAGGGGCTGCAACCTTACTTTGAATTCATTTTAATTAAAGTGGGTCACACTGGACTGTGCAGCTCTGGGGAGTTGTGAGACCACAGGAGAAAAGCTGAAGAAGGCCAGAGGACAGATGGCAGAGCAGTTAGCGCATGGGACAGAGTTCAGCCCACGCTGCTCACAGTTTATGTCACGTGTGGAGGGGAGAGTCATTCGTGATTTGCTTTGTGGATCCTTTCTGATGGAATATAGATAGATCCCTCCTTCCCTCCTTCCCTCCCTCTTGTCCTTCCTTCCGGTTCAACTGTGACCCCAGGCAGAATGAAAGAGTAGTGTTGAAATCTCTCCTCTGGATGGTGTGGGGAAACTCACTTTACACTTTTCCCCAGCTGTGTTCACTTTTTCATTTGGAGATGTTGCCTTTCTTCTCCTTCCTCTTCCTCCTCCACCTCTTCCTCTTCCACCACTTCCCCTGCCTCCTCCTCTTCCTCCTCTGTCTCCTTCTCTTTCACCTCCTCCTCCACTTTCTCCTCCTCCTCTTTCACTTCCTTCTCCACCTCCTCCTTTTCCACTTCCTCCTGCACCTTCTCCTCTTCCATCTCCACCTCCCCCACCTGCTCCTCTTCCCCCACCTCCCCCCACTTCCCTTCTTGAGCTGCAATGGAGCTGCCTGCTGTGCTGTGTTAGTCTCTTAAGCACAGAGTTAACAGTGGAAAAGCAGAACAGTCACACGCTTTTGTTCTTTCAAGGTTTCCTACCCCTCCCCCCACTTCTGGCCAATACTTTGCGGATCTCAGCAATTCCTTTAATGATTTTGAAAAGCTACCAGAAGCAGCTATTTGACGGAGTGATCCCACTATAAGGGAACACTTGATTCAGACTCCTGTGCCAGACTTGTGCCCAGTGACCTGCCAGCTGCCTTAGAATGAGCCTGGAGTTAGGTCGGTTCATTTCACTGCTAGGCAGGGTCATATATTGCTGAGAACTGAAGCTGCACCTGTGTAGACAGACTTTCAGCATCCCAAGTCCGCCCTGGCAGGCTCTAGCTCCCTCAGATGAGACTGGGCTCATACCCCCACCCCATCTGACTCAGTGGGAAGAAGAGGCTGACCTTTCACTTATATTTTAGTCATAAACCTGACACAAGCCTCTCTGCATATGGGAAATTGTACTCACTCAGAGGAAGACTGTTACCCAGTGGAATTCCTGGGCCAATGGCTGGAGGTTTTTTTTCCAACTGTGATAGATTTTGACCTCAGTCTAGGCTTATTTTAAACCTCTTAGGAGCACTAGACTTAAAAGCAATGTTCTGATAAGTTCTGAAAAGTTTCCTCAAGTCATGATAATAATCACTCCTGGAATGTATTTGTTGGGTGGATTTGGAATTTGGGAGAAAACAGATTGTTTTTCTTCTTTTAACAGGTCTGGTTTCTGCCATCCCTATGGCGTAGGCATGTGGATGGGGTGCGGTGCTTGGTGGGAGGAGCTTGGAGGCCAAGCAATTGAATCCCCACTAATCCTAGCTTGGGAGGGCCTCTGAGCTAAGGTGAAAACCGCCTCCTTGGGCACCTATCCAGCAGGAAGCAGAGCTTTGCAGGGTTATGAAACAACACCCCAGGGAGCTATTGAACCCTTCGCTATAGACTGGGAGGAGGGAAGGGAGGAGATACCCAGAGGGACCTTGTTAATGCAGTACAAGGGCAGTTCTCAGCAGGCAAAACCCAAAACAGGCCACAGAAGTAAGAAGAGATGCTTGACCTCCTCAGAAACCAAGGGAAAACACACACTCTAGCAACAATAGTACATTTTCTTCCTCCTCTCACTCAGACTGGCGAATGTGAAACCATACCGACTTCTGGTGTTGGTATGCAGAGTGGACATCCTGCTCCTCTCCAGGAGGCAATGGCAGACATGTGACCACCCTGCTGGAAATGGGGTGAAAGCCCCACGAGTCAGCACCCCAATACCTGTGCCGCTGTAGTTCTAAGAATCTGATTTAAAGAACTGAGCTATAGGCAGAGACACACGGTCAAAGATGTTCACCAGCTAGCATTGTGCTTAGGAACAATGGGGCTGGGAGACCGCTCAGTTTATAGCCCACAGAGGTTGAAGTAACTTGCCCAAAGTCACCCAGCTAATTTTTTTTTGTTTAAAATATTTATTTATTATGTATACAATATTCTGTCTGCGTGTATGCCTGCAGGCCAGAAGAGGGTACCAGACCTCATTACAGATGGTTGTGAGCCACTGTGTGGTAGCTGGGAATTGAACTCAGGACCTTTGGAAGAGCAGGCAATGCTCCTAACCGCTGAGCCATCTCTCCAGCCCCCCACCCAGCTAATTTTGAATTCAGATCTGACGCCATGCTATCCTCCCCGAGGCTATATTTCTTATTATTTCACGGAAGGAAAAGAGGTGGCAGGTATGGGTGGATCCTCCCGCCCCTGCCCCCACCTCCACCCTGTGTTTGCACCCTACCAAGTGTGCTTATACTGGTCCTGTATTCGCACCAGCACCTCATTGATAAGAGGTTGCCAGGAGGGCTTTGGAGGAAGGGCTTTTGTGCTACTGTAAGGTCCTTGCAAGTAGCTTCCTTGAAGGATCTGGTTGCTAGGAGACATTTCCTCAGAAAGTTTCCTTTGGAAAAGGAGCTGAGGCTCCACCCATAGCCCAGCATTGTTGTACCCAGAGAACATCCCATTACGGGTTCCCCACAAGGTACTGGCAGCAGATCCAATCCCTTCTCTAACAGATTCTTTCTGCTCCTAGCCCAGAGTTTATCTTGGGATATGCTAACACACTCAGACTCCTCCATAGAGTCCCACTTCATAAAAGAGGAAAGCAAGGCATGACAGAGGGACTCGTGAGGCTGGCGGTCTCTCTCATCACTGCTCATGATGGCTCCCGGTGGCTTTGTTGTACAGCCAGCAGGAACTTAGTATGTGAAGTATTTCAAAGTGGTTAGAGGAACAGACAATTACTCTGTGTGGAAATGAGCAGCGGACATCTATTGGGAATCTGCGATGAGTCTTTTGTTTGTGAGCCTGGCCTTTGATGGCTGAGACAGTCCCTGGGTCATATCTGTAGGATCTTCATAGGCAAACTGGCCTTAGGGTCATTTGGACATCAGTGCCTAATGTTTTTGTTTTTTTTT